CATACCTTATGAGGTACAAGAAGTGCAATTCCAGCTCTCGCAAATGCTTGCATCCAACATACGAATACGACAAACTTAAGAGAGCAAAACTGTTGGCAGCTTCCTTCTCACGATAATTATGTATGCGACAAACTTAGGAACCAAGAGACCCATAACGCATACTACCGTCTCAACGGACGTCCTCTTCCACATGCAGGAAAAACAAGCAGGAACATCCTTGTTATGTGACCGCTGGTAAACAATAAAGCAACGACCGTTCATACGGTTAGCGATATGGTTCACGAAATCGCCCAAAAATGCATGTCCACCAGCCGTTAGACGTCAATATCGAATAACCTGTTTTATCAGTTAAGTTCTAACGATAAAAATCCGCTGATTTTGTAGTATTAAATGAAATACAATGAGAAAAATACGCTTTTCACTTCTAATTCTTCCCGGAAATAACCCGAATAAGATCTACAACTACTTGCTAATAAAGCTATCAGTGATAATTCCTTTGAAATATGCTTCAAAGCAAATTGCCACAGCAATTTTGGCTGTTGCGGCTTCATTGAGTATCGACCAATCTTTTTGAACCATTCGAAATTAACTTTGAATTTTTATGCGTTTTTGCACATATGCAGCTGCAAAAGCTCATACTGTGACGACCCATGGTGTGTGTGTCTGTCCGGGTATTTCGATTGACAAGCAAGCAAGTTTCGGCGTTACAATTTTGCCAGTGAGTTCCCCGGCCAAGCATCACCCCAGGATCGCGGTAAAAACCTTCGTGCACGTCCGGGCCCCGCGTACGAGCACGTGGAAGTTTTGGCGGGGAATCGCTAGCTCGGGAACCAGAAAAGCTGGGAGGCTGAAATTTTAAGGGAATGCTCCCCGCTGCCGGAGAAATCAAAGATTTCAAATTCAGCCCCCAGGTTTGCATGGTTCTCATGTGCTGGTTGGCAAAAATTTTTGGCTGAAGAATTGCTAACTCGGGAGCCAAAAAAGCCGGAAAGTTGAAATTTTGAAATGTTCCTCTGCACGTAGAACATAAAGATTTCAAATTCAGCTCCCAGGTGTGTGTAGTTCTCAAGTACGGGCCTGTGGATTTTTTGGCGGGAAAATTGCTATCTCGGGAACTGGAAAAGCCTGGAAAGCTGAAATTTTAATGAAAGTTCCCTGTCTAAGTACACGTGGTTGTACAATTAACTTCGTGAATTCCGAGGATCAGTATGTCACAAGTTCTAACTATTAGGATTTCTCGCGGTCTTACTACAGCACGAAATGCAAAAACACACGACCGCACGAGCTTGCTTAATGCGCGTCGCCAGTGAATTGTATCCAAAATGAAAGTATGAGACGAGGTAGCACTGAAGTGGCTCGCAAAGTCACCCACGGCGAACTCACATGCCGTTTATGTTTAAATAACCGACACGCCGTGACAACAAACGAGTACTCCAAATGGAAAAGTGGGTTGCGCGGACAGTACCTCAGCAGGATCACTCTGCTACGCCTCTTATCTTGAAACTACTTGCAGATGGTGATACCGGGCTGCTGCTTCATCCAGATTCCATTTCAGCCTGTTTCTCAGAACTGACTCGCTTCGCCAGTAATTTCTATGAGTTCATCCGATGCTGACCTAAACTGAACCAGAATTACACCAGATTATACTCATCTATGCTAATTTTCTTGGTATTTCCTATCGTTCAATCGCACTACGCTCAGCTGCAACCTCATCCACTTACGCCACCGCCATGTCACTGTCCGTCGATTGCACCACCTTGTCCACCTCCACCGCCTTGTCCTCCACCTTGCCAGCCACCGCCACCTTGTCCCCCGCAGTTCTGTCCACCGCCACCGCTCTGCCCTCCTCCGCAACCTATCCTTTGTCCACCACCTTGTCCTCCCCCGCCACCACCATGTCCACCACCGATTCCTTGCCCAGCTTTACCACCCTGTCCTATGTACTGTCCTCCTCCACCACCATGTCCTTTACCGCTGCCCTGTCCTCCACCATGTTCCTCGGCTTCTGCACAATCCTGTCCGCCAGCAGTTCATCCGCCACAGCATTATGCTACTGAGCCTACTGGCTCAAATTCCTATAAGTTAGGGCCATATTTGGATGGCCTTCCGGAAAGTTATCGCGGTAGCTACGACGGTGAATTTCGTAATGGTGTTTATCTTGCAAATGATGCCGATGGGCCATCCGCGGAACCGCTGCACCCTGACGACTTACTGTCTTCGGGCCTAGGTACCGAGAAGCCATTCACACGAATAACGGTCAACAAGGCCGCTGATGGTATAGATGGCTTATTCGCACCGGGTGAACAGCAAAATGAGTCACTTGGAGCTTATGTGCCGGGCATTATTGGTGAGGATGCTTTGCAGCAACAACAAAATCTGGCGGAAACGAACGGGCGTTCGCTGATGGAGTCAGCGGAAGGCGCCGGAAGTACAGGCGGGCATGCTTCCGGCATACCGATTGCCGTCCTGAAGTCTCACAAGTTTCTCTTCAAACGGGATTGTAAGCCGAACACTGCCAGCAGCTGTGGTGATGAAGATTCGAGCATACCTGCCGAGGTCATTGTCTCAGTTACAGAAAGTTTCAGTTATTACGTGTTTTGTGTTATACAACAGCTGGACAAAACGCATATTTTCACGCTGTATGTGCGTGTGCGCGTGTGTGTGTGTGTGTGTGTGTGTGTGTTTGTCCGAGTGCATTTTGTCCAAACTTTTCGATTCGGAAACCACAAAAGCTAGAAAGCTGAGGTTTTAAAAGAGCGTTTCCCGCCCACGTGTGCTCCGCGAATTTCATTTCATCCCTCACATGCTTACGGCCCTATGAAAGTCTTGGCGGGAAAATTATTATCTCGACGGGAATCACGAAAGCCAGGTAACTGAAATTTTAAAGGAATGTTTCTTGCTCAAGTACGATTCTGCAAATCCAGCTTTTACATGTGCCTGGATCTCAAGTACGGCTTCCTGAATGTTTTGGCGAGAAAATTATTACCTCAGAGGCCAGAACAGCTAGAAAGCTGAAAATTTCAGGAGGATGTTTTCTGCCTATGCAACAGCCTCAGAAACTCAAATTTAGTTCCCAATTATGCCGAAGTCTTATGTGCTGCCGCGCGAAGGTTTTGACGCGAAAGTCACTCGGAAGTCAAACACAGTAGCTAACCCCTTGTCACATCGGTCTCGAACTTCGGGAAGTTAACTGTGCAGCTATATAGTATGTTAGTTGTAGATGTAGGCTTCAGTGACCCAACAAATGGAAAGTTGCTGATCCGCGAAAAAGACCGCACTACAAGAGTTAAACTTGAAATCTTTTAGTAGCACATGAGTAAGGAACATTCCTTTAAAATTTAAGCCTTCAGCTTTTCTCGTTCCCGAGTTAGCAGTTTTCTCATCAAAATTTTCATGTGTCCGTACATGAATACCGAACAGTTTTAAGGAGCTGAATTTGAAATCTTTCGATCATACATGAGTAGGAAACATTACCCTAACGTTTCAGCTTCCTAGCTTTCCCCGTTCCCGGGTTAGTAATTTTCGCGCTAAATTTCCGCACATTCGTACAAGGGCCCGGGTGCTTCTAAACCCCTGATTTTGGTCGTACATGAGTAGA